AAAAAAAAAAAAAAAAGAGAAAGTATGTTTAGAGTGTGCTCATAATAAACTCAATAAGAAAAATATCAATCAAAACTCAAAATTAACTCAACTATAATTCAACATCACTATCGAACAATATAATTAAATAATATCAAACAGTCATTTTTACACATCCCATCAACTTTGATTTACTATTCATGGCACTCGCATAATCTTAACTAGCCATCACTTTTATCATTTTCTCATATTTTTACATCAAATTAATTTAAATTATTTCAATTTAAATAGTATTTTAATTCAAACTTAAATTTTAACTAAGAACTAGTCATACCACATCTTTTAAATTAACTACGATTAAAATAAAAATTCAATAAAAAATCAATCAAAACTATATAAGTGACACCCTTACCTGATTGGGCACGACGCACATGCATTTATTTGGATTGCTCCATTTTATTGTCACATGACACAAAAAAAAAAATCTAAAAAAATCTACGTGACATGAAAAAATTATAGAAGTTCTTCTAGATGTAGAAGTGCTTACAACTTCTATTATACATTATATTATTTATTTAATTTTTTCTTTTTTCAACAAGTTATAATTTTACACATTTTAAACTAAACCACCTTCAATTTCTTAATTTTTTTTTTTTGATGTCATGCAACTCAAAATGGACAAGATACCACTTGAGATGGTTTTGCTAGTGTTATTTAAGTAATCAAGTAGGTTTACTTATTGTATATAGAAGGTTGATTCCACTATAAAGTCTAACTGTTGGTTTCATAGAAAAACCGCAAGGCACTAAACAGTTACCCATACGCCAGCCGTAGAGGTGGGTGAGAGCTCCGCTTCCTGACACGTGTCAGTCTAATGGGCGATAAGATCCGGTTCACACAGTTTCCCTCGTTTCCAATTCCATTCCACCAAGTTGCAGAGCGGACTAATTGTCAGCCACAATCAATCCCCACTGCCAAACAAAACCCATCAATCGACTCGCGCGCTAAGTCTCCGCCGTGCGCCACCGGATGAATCCGTCGTCGTCGAATCCTCCTCCACCGCCGCCGCATCAGCAGGGCGACGGTTCAGGGAAGAAGATTCGAAAGCCGTACACCATTACAAAGTCCAGAGAAAGCTGGACAGAGGAGGAGCACGATAAGTTCATCGAGGCTCTTCAACTGTACACTCTCTCTCTCTCTCTCTCTCTATGTTCTCCGTGTGTATAGTTAACTATAATCAGGCATAGATAACTATAATCAGGCAGATTTTTATGTGCTTTCAATCTGGAATCTAGTTATGTATGGTGGTGGCTGCTAGTGGTGGGCGATATGAATTGAGGGCTAATTTATGCGTTAGTTTCGTTTGGAAATTGTTACGCTGTTTCATGGTGTTTGGGATATTTGATAGGGGACGATTTTTTGGAACTGTGAGGTATTTTGATTTTTGAAGACTGATGATAACCTTTTCTGAGGCCTGTTTGTCTTGCTTTCCCTCATGAATTCAGGTTTGACCGTGACTGGAAGAAAATTGAAGATTTTGTGGGCTCGAAAACAGTAATTCAGGTCCTCATTCATCACTTTTCATCACCTTTACCTATCTGTTGCTTGATTCAATTAGATTGGCGCAATCTGTTGGAATCCTGTGGTATTTCGATCTACCTGTAATTGACGTGGCTTGTATTTAGTGATCTATTATTCTGATGGGTACATAGATCTGAGGAAAAATCTTGGCCCGTGTGATGGGGCCTTTAACTCAGATTTCAAGGATAGGATATCGTGAACCTGAAAATTTTGTCAAAGATTGACTCTGATCTTTATCCCATTAATGAAGAAATCCTCACTTGTTGTTTGCTTTTGTGTAGTATATTTTACTGCATCTAAATTCGTAGTACCTGAACGAACATCCATTGAATGTATTCATGTCAGATTCGCAGTCATGCACAGAAGTACTTCTTAAAGGTTCAGAAGAATGGAACAGTAGCTCATGTTCCTCCGCCTCGTCCTAAGCGTAAAGCTTCCCATCCTTATCCTCAGAAGGCACCTAAAAATGGTTTGGTTCCTATTTCATTTCTTTTTACTTTTCAGATGATATTGAGTATGAAGCTCTTGCAGTGCTGACATCTTGAACTTGCTATTTACATGATGGTACCTTGCAGTTTTGGCGCCACTACGAGCAGCTATGGCTTATTCGTCTGCTTCTATGAATTCTCTTGCACCTGGATACCCAGCCTGGGATGATGCTTCAGTGCTTGTGAACAATTTGTCCTCTGGAGCCGTGCCATCTGAAAACGACTACAATTTTCGTGGAGTTGAAGGTATGTTTGAAGTTATGTGCATGATGATGTACAGAAAACAGAGAAACTATACATATATTTTAAAAAAGAGCTTAGATTATTATTTATCCAAGGAACACTTCCCCTCTTATTATGACACAAAGAGTTACTGATTCAGCTGATATTGGATCAAATGGGGCTGCCAGGACAACTAATTCTAGTATAAGTGGGCTTGAAAGTTCACCTAGAGGGCCACCAAGTTCCGAGGTACCAAACCAGAGCAAGCAAGGTTCTGCCCTTCACGGTAAACATCTAAAATATTCCTTACTTTCTTGCCAACAGCCTGGTTTGATTATAGCGTACCAACATCTTGATCTTCTCCTTTTCTCCTATTTGGGGTCCCTTTACGATTCTGCATAATTGTCCTTCATATTAGCTTGGGCGTCTTAGGCATTGGCCATATTTCTGAGATTAGGACTCGTGCTTGGTCACTGAACTCATTGCTTTTATTTCTGGGTGTTCTTTGTCAGAGACTACTATTTGGTACTGCTACTTGGGTTAAGACTTGCAGTGAATATGGGAGTCATTTTGTTAAGGAAGGCACATTTAGTTTCATAATTCTACTGTGAAAAGTCAACCTCTGCAAGTCGAATATGGGAGTCATTTTGTTGAGGAAGGCACATTTAGTTTCATAATTCTACTGTGAAAAGTCAACCTCTATCATACTTTTTTAGAATCTTTACTATTGAGATAGCAGTGTGCATAATTGTGACCAGCTAGTTGAGACTTCCAAATGGATTGAACATGTATGCAACCATCTTAAATATCTTTTCTTCTGCTAGTTACAGTGAAGAGTTTATTGAATTAGCTAAATGAATGCATGATAAAAATTGAGTGACACTTGCTTACAAATCTGTTAATGTATGGAGTATCCCATGATTTGTATTTTATTTTCAGGTATTCCAGATTTTGCTGAAGTGTATGGCTTCATTGGGAGTGTCTTTGATCCAGATGGTAAAAATCATGTGCAGAAACTCAAGGAGATGGATCCCATAAATTTTGAAACAGTGAGTTCCCCTGAACTTGATGTTGATCTTTTGACTGCTAAATGAATAATGTTAGACAACTTTGTCGAACGATAAAATACAGAATCTGCTTTATATGATTCTCCAAGAGAGATTGATTTCTTTTGCCATTTGGTGATTAATGTGGAAGATGACAGCAAGCTTCATGGATCCATGTTAATTCTCATTTGACTTCTTCTGAAAATGCAGGTCTTGTTATTGATGAGGAACCTTACGATCAATTTGTGCAGCCCTGATTTTGAGCCCATTGTAAGTGTAAATTTTATTCAAATACCCAGTACTTGTATGGAGATTTCTATCTTGTAATTCTTAGTGCATAAAAAAGACTCAACCAGGGGTTGCAATAGCCAAATGCTTTCTGATCCATATCAATGCGCGAATAGAAGAAAATGTTGAAAAAATAAAGGAAAAGTACTATTGTGAAGTGTCGACAAGTTGCTCACTTATACTTGACTGCATTTGCTTCCTTCATTCTGTATATTAACATGGTAGAGAGAAGAACTTTTCTCTTTAATTCTGTAACACAAGTGGTGACTGCAGCAGTTTTTTGGTCAAAAGAAGTCGGCCAAGTTTCTTATATTTAAATCAGTTAATCTTTTTGGAGGATCCTTTCATTCGACTGTTCTGTCTCTGATGCCAATTTAATCCATAATATTTTTTCCTCAACAAGTTTGTAAATAAGCCTGATATAATGCCTATAACACTTGCATCAACTTACTAAAAGCAGTTTCCACTGTTTATGCAGAGAGATGTTCTATCCACATATGATCTACGTCCGAAAGCTGTAGGGGTTTCTCCCGGTACTGTAATAAGTGCTGAATGAGGATCAGTTATATGTATATAATTATATATCCATGGAGTCCTTGAACTATAAGCCTTTCACATTCCAGATTACAAATGCCGTCACACCTACTAGGAGGTATGTGTTTTTTGTCCTCCTCATATCAGTTGCGTGACTTGTAAGGATTAACATACAAGGCAAGTACCAGCATGCTGGGCCCGTGAGTCGAGCACTAACATTTGATTCCTCGATCCTCGATGTTTCGAGTTGGAGGAAAAATTAAGGGGGTTTTTTTTTTTTTTTGTTTTTTTCGTGTGTTACAGATTTAAATCTTCGTTATGTAGAAGATTTTGTCCCGCAAGTGTATTGTACTAGTTTTATTTTTGGTTAGTTTGGTTTGACATGGTGTAATAATTGCTGTTTTGTGAGGCAGATATGTTAACATTGTCCTCTTCATCAACTTCTTTTGACATTTTAACTACTAAGTTTTTTCATGGCGTACTCAAAATGCCAATGTGCCTAAGTCATGCTCCAACATTACAATCTGAAAGGGAAGCTCACTTTTTTGTGCCATAAAAGATCCTACATATCATCATGAACAAAAAAGTCTTAAAGGGAAGCGCACCATAATAAGTCCCAAAATCCCAAGGAAAAGGACGAGCATGAGAAGAATGTAAAGAAGGAAAAAATTAGTGGCATAAATATTGACTTGCCGAGATGTAAACAAGTCGAGCTTGAGTTCTTGATACTCAACTCAAGCTTAGATTTTTACAATGTCAAGTTGAGCTGAGCTTGACTAATGGGGCAGGATTGGTCCTCATGAGATCCCACAACTAGTAGGATATCCCATACATTTGGTGTTAAATTGCCTTAGGAATTCAGGATAAGTTTACTTAAGTCACAAGAGCCTGCATGATCTCTTCTGAAGAGAGAAATAGAGATTGAGTAATTTATAAGCAGTTAGAATATCACTCCAGTTATCGCAAATGTTGAGATAACCAGAAGGCCCAAAACCTCTCCACTACATCTTCATGTCCTGCCAAAAAGACCTTACCAAGTCTATAGACAGTTCGTCTAAAGGACGGAGGCTTCATGTTTACTAGCAACCCATATATTACTAGACAGTTCTCATACATACATACATATATTTATATATAACTAGACTCAGCTTCTCAGGGAATGCTAACCATAGTTGGAGAAGCGGTGGACAAGGATCGCTATGAGTGTATAAGCATAACTAGTGACACATTCATCGCGCGAGAAAGTACAAGAAGACCTCTAAGGCTCTACTCATATCCACCTTGGATAGAACGCGAAAGATGGCTCCTCGGAATATGAAAGTACTAGACATTCGATACAACATTAGCGATTCGAGCATGAGTCTTATTAAGCAGAGTCCCTTAACGAGTTGTGCAATAGAAAATTAAATAATATTCCTATTTTCAAGACGAGCTTCAAACGAGCCTGAGTTATGGCCGTTTATCAAATGAACCAAATTGAACTTGAACCTTAACAAATCGAGCCAATCCGAATATATTCACGAACGAGCCTTGTTAGAATTATAGGTACGTAAATATCCAGATTTTCAGACAAAGATGAACAATTAAAATACGCAGCGGAAAATAAATAAATACGAACGATTCAAATTTAGCCCACAAGTAAAATTTACTTGTAGACTAAGGCCACATGCCAAAAATCCACTAGAACAAATTAATCACAAAGTTTTTCATCCAATCTAAAAATATCTAGTGAACTACGAAAAAGCACAAAACGCGAGTTCGACAATTATAAGCACTATATCATATTATATCAAAAGAAAAGATAAAAGATTCAAAGCCGAATTGTGCCCCGTTGTATCTCTGGACATCCACGCAGGCTTCAACTTGCTTCTCTCTTTCTCAGAAAATATGGTTGCTGCTCCTTTTGGATTTTATGGACATCCACGTTGAAGCTTCAAGGAGAAAAACAAATTTATTGTTCCAAAGCCCTCAAGAAAATTATATGCCTTCTGCTTTTCTTTTTGCACACCACCGCTCCAAGGTCCAAATCATGCACGTTTGTTCTATATCCTCTCACCCATTTCCTCTCCTCTTTCTTTGGCCAAATATCTATTTTCCTTCTTATCTCTTCCTTTCCTAGTAGAAACCTAGCAAGAGAAGGAAACTAAATAATAAAAAGAAACCATATAACAATAAAATCCTCCCAAATATAAAAACTAATAAATGTATATATACAAAAATAAATCAGAAAAGCAAAATAAAAAAATTAAACAAAAATAAGATTTAACAATCTCCCCCTTTTTGCTTTTCTGAACAAAACAATATAAGCATTAATCACTTTCCCTAAATAACACATTGAAAACCATATAAATGAGCTGAGGAAGAGAAACGCAAACAGTGATAAAGTCGAGCACTCGACGATACTACAAGCATCGCTCTCCATCTCCCCCTTTTTGGTCAGAAAACATGAACGCTAGACGAACTCAGCTTCGGCTCCCCCTCAATTCAAGAACTAGACGACTGCTCAATTCAATCACTTCGCCTCCCTCTCACTATCAAGTCACTCATCGTGCACGGACAAATGGATTCTCAATATCTCATCTCCCCCTTAATTCAAGGGGTTACGCGTGGCATAATCAGAATAGCTCAAACAAGCTCAAAAACCAAATCAACATTTGTCCACCAATAACATCCAAAAAGTATATCCTGTTTGTTTCTTTTCAAGAGTCACTCCAATGCAAACAAATACGTTCAGACCTTGAGCAATGAGCAAAAGCATATTCAACCGTATCTCCAACACAATCGATTGTTTCACCCATCAAAGCTCCAACAATTTTGAGCTACAACACGGAAATCGGACCATCTCTAAATCAATAGATTCCCCCTGGACACCAAGAACCATTAAATCGACATGCTCGGATTGTCATCGGGCACATGGACAATAAATAGATGTTCAACACTGAATGAACAGTCACGACCAGGGACAACGACAACCATGGAGCGGTGCTCGTCGGAACATTAGTGTCGTCAGTAAAACGAAAGAACCACATCTCGGTTCAGAAGCTTACCGGCACCACGCCGAGACGATGATTAGGAGTCCCTATCGGAAATCTCGGTTCTGATGTGTAAGCCCAAGAGAAAAATGGCACAGGTACTTGGATCAGATCACCGGTCGGGAGTCGTGGACGGTTGGCAATGGCAGAGGCTCGCTCTCACCTTTGTAGTACATAACCGAACGATGTCGGGCACGAGCAGAGACCGGAGGAGCGGGAACGGGCTTCACCGGCAGAGATTCGTCATCACCATGGCGAGACGACAGTCGGGTACTACTGTTCGATTTCCGCCTGCGGTGAGTAGGATCCAAAGAATTAGTCACCGGTGTAGGCTCCTGTACGGACGTCGACGACGAGTCCGTGTGCTTCGAGTGGAGTCTGTGTGATTTCCCGGCCCGCGGAAAGGAAGAACCCGGCGAAAAATAACCAAAGAAGTTGATTTCATCGGCGATCTACGGGGTGCCATCTGAATTTGGTAGATTACGAGCGTCCGCGTAAGAAGATTGAGAGTAAATTTGAACTGCGAGAAGCCCTAAGTAAGGAAGTGGGAGGTTTTTGCCTGAGAGAGAAAGACTTGAAAAGAAGCGTGAGAGAAA